TAACTTATCATCATTGAAATTAATTTTTCTGTTGGGCTAGAGAAAATTTTTATTTATGAATAAGGATGCTTTTTTTTTTTTGGGTTAGGTTTCTAGTTTTGATTGATCTTATGGTATAATAGTCGCATATTTCATAAAATGCTTTCATAACTATGTTTTTACTTTGTAAAGTATTAGGATTACTTAAGTCACATTTGGTTTTTTAAAAACAAATAGAATGAAATAGATTGAAAATCATCAACACAAAAATAAACCAATTCATCCTTCTTTCTCATGGTAAGTATAATAAAACTTATTAATATATATTATAAATGTGAGAATTATCACATCCTTTAAAAATTTCATGAATCATGATTCTCAACTTCATGAACTAGATTACCCCTTACTTTATGAATATGATTTAATATTCTTTTCTATCATCCAATTTTCACCTTTATTTTTTTCAATTCATTCCATTCCATGTTTTTTTAGTAACCAAACATGACCCTATTTCTCTCTATTTTTTTTTTTAAATGGAAGATTAGATAAAATCAGCTAAGGCACGTATAGTCTAAAGCCTGTACCTTCTAACTGGTATATATTCACACACACTTTCTCACTTGTTATTGATAAGAGCTCCTAAGCAAGCGAGGCTTGCGTCCACTCATTGTGCTTTTTTATTTTTATTTTTATTTTTATTTCTTGGAGGCCTAAATACACGCATAGGACCAAGCAACATCACCTAATGTCTGCGGTAAGTCTAGGCTTATCTCTCCTAATTTACATACTCCACGCACACGTGCGCATCCATATACGTGCATGCTCGCACAATTCTTGCTAATGGGGCATGAAAGAAACCACCTTTGAATAAGAGGATTGTAGATTATTTATGTTGTTATAAATAATTAGGTTTTAATTTTTTTTATTTTGTATATCAATTATTTTTTTTATGATTATGTTTTTGAATTTTAAGTGAATTAATTATAAAATCAATCCCGTACTGTTGTAACTTGCATTGTTGAAGTTAAATGCATTAGTGGAGGATTCCTTGGGCAATCATTGAGGCATGAAAATTGAGCATTAGATCAAGAAAACGAGGGAGATGTAGCCTAGGGGACAATCTAGCTTCCTAGCTTATTAAAGGTGCGGACACAAAGCAAGTCAACGTCATAATTTTGTAATGCAAATAAAGTCTTATTTTATGGGCTGAATCGATGATTATTTAAGTTCTTTAATTTGTTTTTTATTCAGGAGTATAATCAACTAGATCTTTATATTACTTTAAAAATATACTGATGATAGCTTATCTAATGACTGCTAGTATTATTAATTAGATAATGCCGTGTGTGTATGTGTGTGTAACACTTAAATTAAGAAGCGAAATTCCGTTTTGAATTGGGAAAAGATAGCTAGACAAATAAAGCATGCTTGAAAGCAACAAGCATGATGCTGAACTTAATCCCAACTCAAGATTTGTTCTCAACTTTGAAGATCACAGGTAAAGAAAAAAGGTCCAAATTTGTACGTTACATTGTCTTTCTTAATCCTCTAAATAATCATGCTTTGGATCTAAATCTTTGGCCTCGCTGCTTTCTGTTATGTTCTGGCCAGATGTGAACCTAACAAGAATTTCAAATTCTTGTAACTAAGATACATCAAGTTAACTTACGTGTAATTTTATAAATAATTTATCTGCCTTTCTTTTTTTTTTTAATTAATGAGCATTTTGCAGTTTAAACCATTACTCGAATAGCATTATAGATCCTAAACTTTTAAAATGATGAGCAAAAACTTCTCTCAACTTATAAATTCTAAGCAAATTATTTCAACTATTTATTAGTATAAAGTGGATTGCTATATAACCCAGCTAACATGCCACATCTCAAGAGAAGATTAGTACCATTTCAATCTTTAACTAGGCTACACAAAGTCAAAAGTAATAGCAATTATATGTAAAGTAATAGGGATAATTTGGTATTTGAGTAATAGTTTCGGGTTTAGGATATTTATTTTAAAAGTTCAGAATTTAGTATACTATTTGAATAATAGTTTAGGATTCAGAATGCTTATTAACTTTTTTTTATTTTTTGGGTGTAAAATCGCAGCTTACCTTAGATTTGATTTGATTCTAGAGAACAAATGGTAGTGCTTTTATGCACACAAGCATCAAAGTTAAGAAGGTTGGGCTGTGTACAAATAAGTAATCTGAATAACTAAATACTGATTCTTTTAAATAAAATTAAGAGTTTGAATTTTATAAATGAAAAAAAGCTATTTCCAAGTGAGTTCAATAATATTTAAATTAGAATTGGTTAATGCAAAAAATAATTAAATTTTGAGACTTGAGAAGGCATCCCATAAATCGGATTGGAACTTTTAAAAGTTAAATTTACGTGTAAAGTGAAAAGCAACGGCACTATAACCCCTCTTAATTCATCTCGCTCCCCCTCTCCATACACACGTGTGCGTAATGTAATTGGAGGCTGCGGCTGCAACTGAAATAGGAATGAAACTAAAGTATCATTCAACATTTGAGAAAATTGTACTGGCTTAATCAAATTTCTTGAGTTTGAATCATAAGAATATAATTGTGTTAAATACTTAGTGGGATTAGTCTCATCCCGTCGAGTCCCTCTCCCTTCACGTTGAGTTAGGCGGGCTTAAAAAGTAATAAAGTTGTACATGGCGAAAAGAGTTTGTATAAATGGGGCCAAATAGAAGTTAAACCTTTTCTAATTACAGGTACCTTTATCCACGTTAAATAAAGTGTTTGTTAATGTTCATCAATATGTATTGATTTCTCGAATACAATGGTTAATTCCAAGATAGTACTGAATAAAATCCTTGTAAACTCAACTTTCTATATACGTTTTCCGCACCTTTCGTTTTCAAAGATGGAATGCACCAGAAAAAAGATTGAGCTCTGAAGTTAGATATGTTATCATGTACTGGCTCGATCGGCAGCATGATTTTGTTGTTCCTGTTTCAAATTGCTGTAGTAGACTGTTGACTTTAAAATTGTTTTATGAGGAGAAGATGCAGTTAATGAAAGCCACAGTTTCTGGACAGACAAGCTGTAATAATCAGTTTAAAAAGTCGACCGATCGAGAATAATCTTGAAAGATTTGATAATGACAATTCAATTAGATGTGACATTGCGGTGTTCTTAAAGTTGGCAATTTTTATGTCTTTATATGTAAATTTTCAAAGTTATTCCCTATCGCAAAGCTATGGAAATTCGTTACTGGCACGAATGGTAATGGTCCACAGGACAGAATCTCGCAATTTTAATGTCACTCTCTACTAGACATACCCACCAACACTCAAAATATTACAATTTTGGAAAAAGATGAGAGACAAATGAGATTCATCCCTCAACTCTCCTTATCTTTTGGCCATTTGATCATCTTTCTTCTCCTGAGCATCAGATACCAATGATTCAGTGTGAATGATCTGCCAATATATGGATTTTGGAGAGCTTAAAAACCAGAGTCATGGTAGTGGAGATGCAATAATCAGTCACAGCACTAACAACAGGCCAGATGATAACAGAGATAAATCCATTGATGAGCTCCAATCACTGTCAAAACATGATATAGAACAGCATAACAACAACCGACTCCACAGGAGCAAAACATGTTGTGGTCTCGTGCCTTACACGAAATCTAAGAAATGAACCACACTATTCATAAATCATAAACAGTGCAACTTGTTAGAATTAGCTTCCATGTTGTATGCGGACACAGATATATACCTTCATCTTCTGGAATGATACAGATGAGTTGTGCAGTGACTGCCGCTGATGGAACAGTCTCAATTTATGTCTAGATGGGATAGCTATTCTTCACTAATGATATTCTAAAGCAGACTGCTTTATTCCTGCAAATTGTGGTAGCTAGTGTGAACAAAATCTGCATGCCGCTTCAGTCGTGATGATGATGATGATGATGATGATATTGTGATTGGGTGGTCGATATGTCGATCAAGTAAAATAAAGAATCAAAATAAAGCATGATGCCTTGGGAGACCAGTAAAAAGAAGGAAGCAACAAAGCTAAAGCTGACGCAACAGTACTGTATATTGCCACCACTCATCACAACCATAATAATATTGCCACATCCCAAAAATATCAACCAAAAAGACCCATCTGGGTTGGCTATACCACAGTTAGTGGAATTCATGCTCAGATTCTACTATATCATATTAAAGTGATCGATGCTCATCGCACCTGGGTCAACTTGGTGCATATTGCTCTCACGACAAATCGTTCCCTGACAACTTCGCTAACTATGCGTAATGCTGACCAGTATACAAGATTGATTGTGATTGGACGTATGAACATGTCAGAGTTTAATTAGCTTTATTTAAAAAAAAAATATCTGTCTAAAGCAAAAATGCTCTAGTGAGTCAGCCTCATCAGCAAATGAGCTGGCTACTTTGTAGTTGTATTGGATCATGCAGCGATATCATGTAATGTAACTACTCCAATTTCAGTATGGCGCCTCGAGTCAAAAACCTCCGATTTCGAAAATCTATCAAGCCCAAATTCTTATTTTATTTTAACTGGAGGTTCCCATGTGTTGCACTTCCGGCCTACCATTAATTAATTAAATGAAATACTGTGAGGTCTAACTTGCGGGCAAATTTTATGTCATTTTTCTGGTTGGATTTGCGGCTTCATAGATAAGAATGAAGGTATTTTGATCTGAATAAAATAATGCACCTGTGTCCATCTAAAAGAATTAGGTGACTACTGAAAATTTTCAAGTTGCTTTAGAGGCTTGACATAGCAAAGCATACCCAAGGTGCATATCTGACTATTGATTCACCAACTATCAACAGACATGCATGTTCGCAATTTAAGACAAATTAAATTAGACAAATTTTTTAAGAAGTATTATATGGAGGTTTTGAAAAGTGAATTATACTTTTTTATGACTCGTAAATAGCGCAATTTGCTATAATTGTATTACATACACTCCACACATGTTTTGGACAACAAAAACTAATTGCAGAAGGCATTTTAGAAGACGAGGTTCACTGAATTTTTATTTGATAGGAGGTGAAGAGGAAAACTTCACAGAAAAACCCATTGAAAATTAACAATTGAGGCATTGAAACATTATTGGAATTTGCTTGTGATGTTCATAAACTAAGTTGCCTCATGCAGAGCAATGATCTTTGCAGTAGAGGAATAATTGATATTTGCCTGTGAACATCATCAGAAGAGGCATTACAATGCATGAATACCTAAAACAGCTGGGTTATTGAAGTCCCCTGAATTTGCCCTAAAACCCTGGTTTTTGTGGTTGGTGCAACCAAAAGCCTCATGAAGGGCACGATCAATATCAGATGAAGATGAATGCAATAAACTGTCACAACTAGGGTTGAAAACCCCATCATTTGGCTTCTGATTTGGTGAGAACATAGAAGACTGATCATTCAACTGAAGGGGCATGTTGTCTTGTGGGTTGGTAGATTCTGTGAGATTGACAATGGTTATGTCGTGTATACTTGGTCTCCTTTTGTTGTTCCCTCCAGAAGACAGCTTCTGCCTTATGTAGTACTTCTGAGCATGACTCGCCACTTGGGTTGGTGTCTTTGTCACCACAAAGTTTCTTGAGATGTTCCTCCAATCCCCTTTACCATACTTAAGAAGGCCCATCAGAAAACGCCTGTAACTCCAGAAATACAGAGGTTTCAACAACGAAATGAACGATCTTGAGTTGCTTATTGTAATCAATCGTGATTATATTACAAGAATATCAACGAAAAACTTAAAGATTCCAGGAATTGATGAAACTGACCTGTGTTCTTCTTCAGTCCAAGGGACCCCTTTCTTTCTCTCGTGATCAGAACCCTTGAAAGCCACGGGCCTCTTTCTGTATGCATCATAATTCGGGTGATCGACCAGCTCAAAGGTGAAAGAAGAACCCAGGTAGCCAGGAATTGGGACCCGACCGGCTTCGATTTCGCCGATGTCTTCTACAAGTTCTCTGTACTGCTTGATGACATCGCACACGGTTTTTCCGGGGATCATGGCTGCCACATTTAGCCACCTATCTGGGGTGTCCTTGTCGTATATGGCAAGGGCACTTTCAAACCTCTTGTTCTCTTCTCTCGTCCATTCTGTGTTGTTGATGCTCTCTTGCACGAACCAGTCTGAGTTTGGCATAAAAGAAGGTGGGTACAGAGTTTCCATGCCTTCACTTCAGTAACTCGAAAGATTTTCACCTAATTGAGTGGAACTTGAAAGGACACGCCAAAGAAGAAACATATAAAGTATTGAGCTTTGATTCAGACGGCAAGGAACTTAGAATCTATCACGTGTAATCAAGAATCTGCTTTGCTTAACGGCATAAACTAAAGAATCTATGGAAGTCCCACCTTTTGGAATCGAAGAGAATCTTGGAAAAATCATGATATACCAAAATTTTGGTGCTAGAGTAGAAACCCCAAGAGAGAGTTAAGGGGTAATAATGAATTCAAAACCATAAACGCACCTAGAAGGTTTGTGCTAATAAGATGGCAACAAGTCTCAGACAAATATGAGTTGGGGGACAGAGAAGAAAAAGATAAATATAAAGAGGCAAAGAAAGGGAGGGGATTCGATCGAAGGCGATGCAGAAGGGGCAGATCCAATGGGAGAAAAGAGAGACTCTTTACGAAGAGCAGAGAGAAAAGTTGGAAGCCGTTTGCTTTTGTCGTTTCTTCGTGAAGAAGCAAGTTCGAAAACAAAAGGACGAAGAGAGAAACAGAGTAAAAACAGAGCATCGGGAATGTCTGGATGCAGCTTGGGCGACTGACAATCTCCCTCTCCTATTATAGGCTGTTAATTCCAGATTATGACATTTAATTAATCATTAACTTTTACAATATGACGTTTCAATGTTGCTTTTTTATGCATAAATTGTAAACTATATTATTTTTATGTAACACATGCAATTTAACCAATTTAATTACTATTAGTCGGCCAGTCAAAATAAAACGAACATAATATTTCTCGTTCAAGAATGATACCGTATAATTTATTATAAACTTTATATTTTATATCAAATTAAATATCAATATCCATAATATAATTATTTAAGGTGATAGGTCAGGTCTGGTATTGGCTTTAAATCAAGTTTGATAAATAGGTCAAGTTAAGTTGCAAGTCACTTGATAAATTGGCCTGCTTGACATATGATCAAACGTTTAAACAGTAAAAATAATATTTGAAGTTTTGAAAAGCCCAATAACAAATATTTTAGACATTTTACCTGATAGTCATATTTTAAATGCAATATATCAACGTGTTTGATTATAGAAGTAGGCCTGATCAGTATTAAAAAAAAAAAAACAGGGGAAAAAAGGCTATATTTCTAGTGGCAGGAATGATTTAGTTTATTATGACAACTTGCGTGCGTGCTTGTGCGTGCGTGTGCGTGTCTATGTATTTTTTTTTGGGTGTGAGTGTGTTTTAATATAAAATATAGAAATATAGTTGGGCGTATTAACTTTGGATGGCTGCGATGAATTTGAGTGGTTCTACCTAAACTTGTTCAGGTGAATAAATCCAAAACTTAACGCATCAGAGTCAACTCAAGAGCATTTGTTTGTTTGTTTGTTTAATACTGCCACGGGTTTTAATTTGAATCTGATTTTCAGTGTCAACGTTCGTTGTTCCAAAAATGATGTAATTAGGCTTCGCTCGTGGTAGTTATTTTGGGGATAACACAAAATCATTGATTGCGTTACATCTACAGCCAAAATTTCCCCTTCAAATGAACAGTAAGTCCTAGCTTTGGGATGATGCCGACGGATCTACGACGTCGGTAGGCACTGCACTAGCGGTGATTGGGTGGGAACTATTCTACCCTACCCCTTGAGATTGTCATCATTTTTTTTTAAACTTAGTATCTTGAATTTTTTTAAAAAAAATTATTCCTTTGTATTAAAAGAGAGAAAATTTTCTTAAATCCTTGGCTTAATTTTTTGGGTAACCTTTTTGCCAACTTAAACTACACTTTAAAAAAATGATAAAGATATAAATGTAGTTATTAATTATTTTTTTTAAGAACACTGAGTAACATATGATGTGATGTGATGTAAAATAAATTATAAATTATAAAAAATGAAGCATGAAGTGCCTGCCATTAGTTTTCAATAAATGATGACTACCAAACTACATGCATCCTCTTCATTTGATTCCTCTTGATTCTTTGTCTATCTCTCCCATTCTCAACTGATGACCCAAAAGAATAGCTCCTTGCTTTTCACCCCATTCACCTTCCTCATTTGATGCATCTTCATAAAGGTGGTGACCTCGTACTCATAAAAAATAGTGTGTCAAATGGCTTTAAACCTATGCTCCTTAAACTATAGGCATTGCTTGAACTTGCTTATTCTCTTTGGTAATAAGGACACTAAGGGACGACTTGGGAAGATAATGTTTGAAATGAGAGAAGAACGGCATTGTTTCCCACCAAGTCTTGGTGTGTGTTATCATAGGTCTTGCATTTCTTGATGATATTATTGCTTTCTTTGCATATTTTTAGGTTCGTTATTCTTTTGGATTTGTGGGTTTTACTTTGAGATTGGTTTTGTTCTGAGTTCACTAGATGCTTCTCCATGTACATAATTTGACCTCCGACGATGTGTTGCTCGTAGAATTGTGAGAAACACTCATCATCTAACACTATCTCTTGCTCTTGCTTCAACAAGTTCACGCTAAGTGGGTTGGAGAATTTGGTCACCTCCAATGTAGTGTGTGAAGGCCTCAGAGAGCCTTTCAAAGTTGATCACCGATTGAGAAAGGGGGGAGAGAGAAAAAAAAGGGATCAAATGAGGAAGAGACATATGACTTGATAGTTGAATAATTGGTCAAACAAACAGCCGTTTGTTGAAAACTAACAGTAGGTGTCCCATGCTTTTGTTTTTTGTAATTCATAATTTATTCTACATCACATAAAAGTATAGGCCACCTAGTGCTACTGAAAAAAATAATTGGTGATTAAATTTACATATTTACCCCTTTAAAAAATAACAAACTACATAATCATGTTTTCCTAAGTATTGGAATGAGTTTGAAATGTCATACTAAATTTAGGAAAATTTTGGCTTCTTATAGAGTTTATATTATATATTGATATTTGAATATTCCTTAGAAATTTAAAAAATATATATTCAAACCAAAGTGAGAATAAATAAGCAAGAATATCGTTCAAGATAAATTTGAAAATTAAAAAAAAAATCTTGCATAAGATTAAACCACCAGGAGTATAGTTTTGTCAACATTTTATTGTTAAAATGCTTACAATTTATCATATTGGAGTTTTGACACTATTGTGGAAATAACATGAATTACTTTCACATTTTACTTTATTTGTAATCAATTGACGTGTGTGCTCACGTGTATATGAGCATGACCACATGTGAAAATGAGTTGGAGATTAGAGTCGAGTTGTCAAAACTTCACAATTTGATTCATTAGTTTAGAATTATTATGCAAAAAATAAAATTAACACCCTAATTTAAAATAACGCAGAATTAACTAATGGATGCACTTTTGAAAGCAATCTTTATATTTTGTAATTGGCACCATTGATACTGTGGTTCTATAGCAATAATGATGTAAACAACGTAAGTGATGTGATGCTATTAAAAAAAAAAAACAGAGAGAGAGTAAGCGAAGTGATATTTAAAATAATTATATTCGAATGATTCTTAAGACAATTAAATAAAGTAGGTGATATGACATCTTCATGTTTCGTGATTAAATATTCAATTTTTTCGGCCAAATAATATTCAATTCAAATATCGCTATAAATATATGGCTCATGAAATTAACTGTATCAACTTCATTATTTGTTGGTTTTAAAAAAAAAAAAACTTCAGCATTTGAAAAGGTTTAGGGAAAATTGCCATACAATCCTTCATTAATAAGAAAATTTAAAATTAATTTAAGGGCTAAATGTACATTAAACCTACCACTTTGTACATCAAGCCTATTATCTTGTACACCAAATCTTAACCTTACACCTCAAGCTATATTACCTAACACTTTAAGCCTATCACTTTGCACCTTACATACCAAATCTATCACCTTCCACACCAAGCCTGTGAGCTTACAACCCAAGCCTTGCACATCAAACGTATGACCTTGTATGTCAAGTCCATTATCTTACACACTGTAAGGTCTTTCTTACTATTCTCCAATTAACTCTAAATTTAAGGTAATTAAGAGATTAACCTCAAATAAGATTATCAAATTTGTAACATTTATCAAAATAGGGTCCCAAGTTTTCAAAGTTTTTCAATATGACAAAACAACTTTACAAGTATAAATCAGAGTGTAAATGGTATGCAGAAATATGGGATCTCTCACAAGTTAAAGCATATATATAATAAGTATAAATGACAAAATAGTGTAGGAAAGTAGGCAATGTATCGCGGCTTATAATACGTGAGCCGTGGCATGTTGCCTTTGTGCCATGCGTCATGACGCATCGTATGTTTTGACAATGGCAAGGGCAAATTTTTTACAAGTCTCATTTCTTCATTCGATGTCTGATTGAGGAGACTTAAGTGTCTACAAAGAGTTTTTCATAACTCTAGTTAATGACATTGGTTTCATAAATAAATTATTTTTTAGTCAAACATTGGAATCCCATTTCATAATTCACTCTTTTTCACAGTTCAAACAGATATAGGTGTCTCAATTTCATACCAAGTACCAAAAGCCTCAAATGCATCCTAAAACATGCTCTATATACTATTGCAAACCTGTACAATACACTACATCTTACAGATATCAATACTCAACCCTTTAATTACAAAAACAAAAGCAGGAGCTCTAATAGCACAATTCATTCATAAATCATCATACCCAACCAACATACCCTCATATTTGTTCATCTCTCACTTGCATTGGTATTTTTGTCCTTTCTAGTTTCACAATTAACACATACATAATCTTAGGCCTAAAATACTCAATTAAACTTAACATTCACATAGTATAAGTAAGTAATTATGAATTATTTTAGCTGGCAATATCAAAAAAATTGTATATGAAATATCTCCCTTATTAAACATAATTGATTATAAAACTAAGGTAATCATAGGTTAAGCTCATTTTTAGATTACCAAGTTTGAAGTTTATAGAAATGAGATCTCAAGTTTGCATAAATAATAAATTGCTTAAACATCATTTAATAAACCCCAAATTAGAGTAGAAAAATAATTCAGAAGCATGAGATATCTCATAGGAGTAAAAAGACTCAAAAATAGTTAAAAATATCAAAACATCAAAAAAATTGGGCAATATGCCACGGCATGTGCACATAATCCACTGTTGTCTCTCTCTGTGCCATGTTAAAAAATTGTGGCGGTTTGCACATATTAGATAGCAACTTTGCTTTAAATGACAATAACCCGAGGCAACTTTTGACGTGCCCCATTTCTCTGTACAACGCTCAAATGAGGTGATCTAGGTATCTACAAAAACTCTTTTCATAATCTAGCTAATGGCATAGGTTTACTTTTAATTATATCACACAAGGAAAATGGACACCTACCAACACATTTTCAAACCTTTTTCACAATTTAAGGGTGTCCAAAACCCCACACATATGCCAAAAGTCATTCCTAACACCTAGACCATATTTAATGGACTTAAGACACCTATTATAACACACCACTTGCACAATTACTTATCAATATTAAACTTTCACTCCTGAAACCTTATAATATCAAAACAGCAAGAGGAAGTTTAAGCATTGCATTTAATAATTAACATT